GCTATATATAATGATGGTAAGATATATTAATTTCAACATCCATTCACTCTAAAATATCATTTCTAAATAATTCATTAATTCGGTTATATGTCAGATAAAATTAGACCCCTATGTACTATTAACCCTCACCCTCACTTTAAAACGAATAGTTACTTACATTTGTTGACGCCAATAAATGTTATTTATAATGATTGTAAGATATATTAATTTAAATATCCATTCATGGTAAAATAACATTATTCTTAGTTAAATTTTCCAACCATATCTCACTTATTCAACACGATATTAAATATTTGATTTAAGATCGCTCTGCTTTTTTTGTTTTTCTTTTGTTTGGTTAATATTAGTCTATATAGTAATTAATATCTATTCTATCTTCAAACTATCAATATAGTAGCTGTGGGCTCTCCCAGCATTATTTATTGATAATAATAATAATAATAATAATTATGAATAGTATTTTCTAATTTCTCCACGTATTTCTTTAAAATTGGTGGGGCTGCTGAATCAAATCCTACATGTAGGATCCACCTGTATTATTTATTAATATTAATTACAGGTAGGCCTTTCAAACTTCTCCCCGTATTTATTAATTTAAAATTCGTTGAACCCAATGAAAATAAATAAATAAATTAATTTAAAAAAGAACATGGGCCTTATAAAATCACGAGGCCCACAAACTTTGTTCGCTGATAAGTCCAGCCCATAAAAGCCACGTGGCTGGATTTGAATCCAAAGGCCCAAACCTACCTCAAGATTTATTAATACGTCATTAATATTTAGTGAAACAATTAAAAATATATATTTAATATTGGTAAATTTTCCGTAAATAAATAATGTAAAAATGGGTAAATGGAATATATTATACCCTCTAATAACATTATTATTATTATTATTATTATCAAGCGAATCCTGGAACCTTGCTTTTTGACCAGGCTTTGTATCAGCTCCTTTTTATTTATTTATTTATTTATTAAAAAAAAGTTTACAAGGTGGGCTGGGCCGAGCCCAGTCCAGTATCTAATATAAAGTGCGTTCTTTTAATTAATTGTTTATTTAAGCATGTTTTATTGGAGGATAAAAAGGAACTACCAAACAGCGTCTAGTGCACGTGACCGGTTTGTTGACTCTCTCATACCTTGTCATCTCGGTGGTTTGAAGCTACAGATCCGGAACCAATCACATCGAAACACGTGGGTTGTTGTTTTCTTTTTTAATTTAAATGTCAAATTCAATGGAGGTTAGTTGGTTTAATTGATGAGGAGGTATCAAATGAAAACGACATGTCGCTGTGTTTGAGTTGCCACGTAGGTGTCTGACTTGTCCTCTTCCTGTTAATTAAAAGCTTAATAATATAGAGATAAAAGGTGATTATATATTATTCCGCGACCAAGATTTGTGATTTGAAGATTTTTGAACCGACAAATCGGAACTTAGTGGGTTGTAATCTCCACCTAATCTCCATTAAAAGTCGTGTTAAACATTGTTCAATTCAAAACCCTCTTTCACTAATAAGGGTGGTTTTTGGAACACGTGTAAATTAATAAAAATTAGGATATTAAGTGAATTAAATATTCTAATTATAACTATCGTGGCTATTTAAACACGATCATCGTTGTAATCCCTATGTTAAATTCATGCAAATTTACAATACTAAGGGCACGTGTATGGTTGACTAAGAAGCAATTAACTAATCAAGGATAATTATAATGATTATTATACTAATTTAGCTATTGTGATGAGGCTAAGCAAGCATCAATTCTGTATGTCCAATCTTTTAATTAAATAATATATTTATATTAATAAATTCGGAGTATATTTATATTAATAGCTTAAGCCCACCTTTATTGCTCGTTACAATCTCTTAGATAGGGATTTCCACGCCCTTATAAAAAATTTTAGTTCTCCTTCTCAACTAATGTAAGATCTTACTATCCAATCTTTTTGAAATTTGGTACGTGACTATAATACCATTTGTTACAACTCAAGCCCACAATTAGTAGATATTGACGTCAGGCTTACGATTTTAAAAAGCGTATGTTAAAAGAGAGTTTTATACGCCCTTAAAAATGTTATAGACTATGAAATAACATTTTCGAGTTACATTTGTCATATAATTATTAATTTTCTTAAAAAAAAAAAAAAGTTTAAACCCACCACTAATTGTGGTCAAATTCCTCACCTTTTTCTTCTCTCTATATAAACACAAAGACACAGCCTATTGTTCCTTCAAGCCAATGAGATTTTCTGTGGACTATGTCTGAGTTTCAGGCCATTCTTCTTCGCGAATTCTCAGCCGTCGGATGGAAGCCCAGATCAAGAGGGAAGTCGATGAGAAGGGACGATCGAATGGTGCAGGTTTGATTTGAAACTCAAAAACTGTAGTAGTAGTAGTCTGTGAGTTTAACCAGTTAAGTAAGCCTAGGGTTTGCCAGAAAACGACATGGTTCTTCACGCAGGATTTGTTTTTACTTGCCCTAAAACCGACGGATCGATCAATCAATCAATCAATCGTTATATGAAAAGGTTGAATTAGTCAGCAATATTTTATTTTATTATTTTTTTAAAATAGAAAGACCCTACCAACAAACTTGGAAACCCCTCCACTTTTTCTCCCATCCTTTTCCAAACGTGCCGCTCATTCTCTACTTCGCACCCCACTGTAACTCGCCTGTGGTCCCCACCACTACCCTAATCAGACGGTTTATGCTCTGTGGAGCCCACCACCGAGTACCTACAGTAGCATTGGTGGAGCTTCTTTAGCTTTTTTTTTTTTAATTTAATTTAATTTTTATTTTTAAGTTTAATTAATTCGGAGGAGGTGATCAACTTGGGGTTTTGTCGGCCCTCGCCTATCACATTACCAGAATCATGTCGGCCACCGTGTAAAAAGGTATTTTTCGAATATTTTTTTTCGCATTCCTAAATTCCTTTTATTTTAAATTATAACGTTTTCTAAAATATAAATAAGTAAAAGCCCCCACAAAAAATTCATTTTATTAGTCATTTATAATTAACTGGACAAGTAATTTAAAATTTACGATAGTAAATATTGTGTCTAATCAATCCCTACATGTTCCTTTTTAAATGTTAAATAATAAAACTCCACGTTAAAAACAAAATAAAACTTCAAATATTTATTAAAATTTATGACAGTAAATATTATGTCTCGTACATGTTTTCTTTTAAATGTTAAATAATATAACTCCACAATAAAACTTCAAATATTTATTAAATATTTTTAAAAATAATATCTATATATATATATTAAGAATTGAGTAGTGAGTGGAACAAATTATTCATCATAAATTGAAAAAATTAAAATTTTTAATTAATTTTAATACTATGTTTAAAAACATTGATAGAAATTTTAAAATAACATAAACTCAAAGAAAAATCCTCTATCTTCATTTTATTTTAAAGGTCATCTTCAAACTTTTTTATTTTTATTTTATTTAAAAAGATACTAAACTTACCCTCGATAGATTATATATATATATATATATATATATATATAGGAGTTTATGGTACATTTTAAAAGTCGTATTAACCGTTACATAAATAAGATAATAAAATGATATTTTTGAACCTTTTAAAAAAGTTTTAACGATTTTATTTTTTATAGTTTTTAATGAAATTTATGTGTATTAATGGATTAAATTCAATCATCTATCAATACACAACACATACATCTTAGGGGATAAAATTGTAATTTACACTCGACAATTCGATCTTATTAGTTATTTAACCAAACCAAAAAGAAACCGAACCTTTTGTTTTTATGAAATGGAATAAAGCAGCTTTATAATATAAATAAATTTGAAAATACCAATTTTGTTGTCATACTTAAATACGATCGAGAAAGATTATTGGAAAGAGACCATTATAGTTTTCCTCATTATTTTATTTTATTTATTTACTAAATATGCCCATCTCAACATTAAAAAAATATATTTCTGGTTGTTATTTAAAATTTTTAATTAAGTGTTAAATGAAAACTTAATTCTATAATCAAAGAATAATAATTTAATTGATACTTTAATTTACAGAATTTGATCAGTGACGCATGTTATTTCTGAAATTAATTGCATGAACAGATTTTGCCATTTTTGTCCTTTTATTTTTTAGTTGGCCCCAGGACATAGCTTATAACACAATTATAACTTTATAGATATGTTTTTTTTTTTTTTAATTTGATTGACGAGGACAACTGTTTTCTTTTTTTCTTTTTATTTTTAAAGAGTTTGCTGACGGAAATTCAGCCAATTTGAATTTTAAATACAATATGCTAAATTAACAAAGGATCAAAATTAGCTAAATTAATAAATATAATCTAAATTTCGACTAAAAAGTACACCTAAACACAACCTTTAAAAAAATATATAAGCTTTAAAAAAAAAACTCTGAAAAAAAAAACACTTAAAAGCTAGTTATTTTTATTATTATTTTTTATTGAAACCATGAGTATTTTGTTTTAGAAATAAAATTGAATTTTTTATTATAATTTAAAAATATTATTAAACTTACCCATTAAAATTTAAAAATAACTTATTACTATCTATATACGAACAAAAATCCTGTGTGACACCTTATAGATTATTATATAAATATTTTAATGTTATTCTTGAAAGTTAATGAATATTTTTGAAACGAAGTTTTTAAATTAACGATGAAACTTTAAAAATTCAAAAACATATTTAAAAAACTTTTGAAAATTAAAATAGTATTTTTTTAAAAAACTAAGTATTTAATATATTGTATACATTTTAAAATGTAAACGTATTTTTTTAGATTTTCTTAAAATCTAAGGGTATTATTGAAAATTTTGGAAAATTTAAGGATTTTTTTTAATGATGTTTTTATTAATTTAGTGCTAAGAATTAAAATTAAAATTGATATATATATTTATTGTAATTGGATAACCATACGGAATTGCTTTAAAAAGGTCCATACTGTGAGGACAACTACGAGTTCAAAGAAAATGCATACACATGTCTGCATGTCCCTCTCTCTCTCTCTCTTCTTCTCTCAAATAATGCAACCAATAAATAATATTTTAAATTTTGAATTATTTTTACGCACATTATATTTCCCATATTTTCATAAAACAACAAAAATATATTAAAACCTCCAATAAAACATTATACTAAAAAAAATATCTCAATAAATGCTTTAAATCTAAAGGGTTTAATTGACGAAGGTACAATAATCAGAGACTTAAATTTAGGAACTTTAATATTGTAGGAATTGGATCGGAAAATCTTTGGAAAATTTTTCTATTAAAATTTTAAATTTGATTTATAATTTTTTTAATTAATAATATTATATTAATTATTAAAAAAATTATAAGAAGACATATTATTGAGGATTTAAGATTAAAATTAAAAAATATAGGAATTTATTAATTTTTTTTAAGGGTTCGGAAAATATTTAGGTAGGTGAAAAAAATAATGGATGATTTTTTATTTTTTTTTAATATTTAAATTGGCAAGTGCTGATTATTATTTAATTATTTATTTTTTTTAAAGGAAAGGTGGAGTCCAGAAGAAAAAAAAAAGTGGCTAGTTTCTCTCTTTCGTCTAAGCTCTTGCACAGTGCGGAGCCAACCTAAGCATCTTATTCGTTGTTTGTTCTTCGGAAAAACACACTACTCGAGAACACCTGCAATTCTTCTCTGCCACTCCCAATTCCGGCAAACTCCATCTTCTTTCTTTCTGTTCAATCTCTTCCTATTATTCCTCTGCCGATTATTTCGTTTCCTTGTTTTAATTTCCAGTTGATCATCTCATACACATCCTCCCACGATTTCTCTCTCTCTCTCTCTCTAGCTTTTGTATTTGTTTGCGCCTTCAATAAGGTATACTGCTACTATGGAAGAAATGTACGGGTTGCAGTCCAGGGCGGAGTATTCGGATAAGGCGTTGATGTCGCCGGAGAATCTGATTTTTCCGCCGGATTATCAGAGTCTTTTAGTGAGCTCTGGAGCGTTTCGTGATCGGATTCCGGTGTTTGGATCCAACGATTTGCTTTCGGCGGCGGCGTCCGCGATTTCGGAAGCTGAAGCAGTATCGATCACGCCGGAAATTCAAGGTGAAGAAGATATGGTGAACGTGATCAAAGCGAAAATTTCTTCTCATCCTACTTATCCTCGTTTACTCGACGCCTATATTGACTGCCAAAAGGTGAACCCCTAGGCTCTATTTCTCTGTGAACCAGAGAACAAAAATAAAAGCAGGCGATCCACTTCTCACACTGTGGTTTAACACAGACACCTTCATAAAATCCTGAATCCTTATCCTCTCTCCCTATTTCTTAATTAATATTATTATTTTGCTCTCTTTTGTTTTATAACCAGAGAACAAAAAGCTTTCTCGCCTTTAAATGCTTCCGTAGACACTGTCAACGAAGAAATAATTAACTAGGATAGAGGGGATTTGGCTATTTACTAGAACGATTTCTTTCTGGGTTTTAGACCTGCCGAGGGTTCAGTTTTTGTCTCCTCCAATTTTCTCTTTCTTTTAAGCTTCAAACGTCTTAAAGAAGAACAAGATTATGCTTACCCGATTTCGAATTTGGTTAGAAAGGGGGAAAACTGCGAGATGATCGATTATGATTCCGAATTTGTTTATTTTCTGTTGAAGTAATGATTGGAGAATTTGTTAGGTTGATTATTGTATGATATCGAGGCGTTTGAAGTCCGTGGGGGATTATTTCTTTTTGTAACAAACTGATTCTCGCGTGTATAATGAGATGCGGGTTACTTTGCGCAGGTAGGGGCGCCTCCAGAGATTGCACATTTGTTAGAGGGAATCCGTCAAGAAACCGACCTTTGTAACCGTCACGCTGTCACCACGTGCTTAGGCGCAGATCCTGAGCTTGATGAATTCATGGTTACTTCTTCGTCCTTCTCCTTCTCCTTGTCCATTGACAAATCGAAATCTCTATTTTGTTTTTTTTTTTGTTAATTTTATGAGTCTTGTTTTTAGGAAACGTACTGCGATATGTTGGTGAAGTATAAATCAGATCTCAAAAGGCCTTTCGACGAAGCAACTACATTCTTGAACAAGATCGAACTGCAACTTAGTAGCCTCTGCACTGGCGCCTTCTCCAGAAGCCATTCCGGTCTGTATTGTTTAATTTCTAATCCTCTTTGATTACTATTCCCCGTTTCAAATGCTAGTTGATTGTTTGGTTTTATTTTGTGAATTAAATTTAACTAATTATATTTTTATTGCCGTTGCCCGCATGGGTGTTAAGGAAATGACCCCAAAAAAATAAGGAATTCTTAAGATTACTTTGGAGGAATGGTGTGGAATTATTGTTCTCTTTTTTATTTAGTCTTATTGCTGATTGGAAAATCCAAGGTCTTAACAACCAATAATACAAAGGAACAGCGAAACCCTAGGAACTATATTTGACTGCAACTCTCATCTACAGGCGCTGTTTTTGGATTACGACCTTGTTAATTGTACGTTGAATGGTGATTCTTTATTGATCATATTGGAAATCTTCAAGTGCAATAATGAAGCTTCCAAATAGTGTTTTCTAATAATTTAGAGTTCTAATTATTATATTTTGCTTTGATTTAACTGCGGCTGCTCATCTATCTTGTTTGTTGTGTTTGTTTCCTTTTCCTCGTTTTTTTTTTAATTTTCTTTTTTAGTTTTTCATGTTACATGGCCAAAAAATTAATAATAGAATAAAAATAAAACCTGGATGTGAACTTTTTCCGTGTTAGAGATTCTGATTTTGACATTTCAGAGTTCAGTGTGACGACATTGGAAATAGTAATATGATTTGGCGTATGGTATTAATTATTATTGTTTTCCCATTACTGTCCTCTAGTAAAATAAAAAATGAAAAAATGAAAAATCCTTAGTAAAAGGTTCAATTTTATATGCATCTCATGTTAATATGGTCTCTTCTTTTCAACTAGTCCTAATTCTCTTTATATAATTATAAACAAAAAGGGTAGGTTTTAATTCTTTGGTCCTAAATACAGGCGGTCTAAATCTATCGTGTCTTGTCTTTTAATTCTTGTATGACATGTCTTTGTAAACCTATCAATGTGTTCATGTTAATATCCATATATGCCATTTGTCTATCATTATTAGTGTAGTTATGTGTCCTTAAATGTTTGAGGTTTTAGTATCTACGATTCTCCATGTTAGTAACTTTTTCGTTGGTTTATAAGTGATTTTTTTATTTCTGAAATTTTTGGCTCAGCTGAGAATAATTAGTGTATCATACCAAATATAATATTACAATTCTAGTGGAAAGGATTAAATCATATGTATTCGGGTTAGAAGTTGATTTTGAGTTAATCTTTCAGTATTTGTATAGACGGCCTAAAAGCCATTTGTCCGTGACCCACAATATTTGTTCCAATAATAATTTCTTGAATTTATCACTATTGTAGATTTTTTTTTTTTGGCAAAAAAGGATGCCATTAAGAGAATAGAAATGGATAATTCTCACCCAAACAGCAAACTCATTGCGTTTGTGTGATAATCATTTGAGTGTTACATATATATGTCCGTATTATATGCTGATTCTTTCTTAAGATATATAATGGATATTGGCTTAGTTTGATTGTGATAGCTCTGATAATACTTGTCGAAGATATCTTTATTACAATTTCTAAATTCAATGGATTATGAGTGGTGCATGTAAGATGTGGGAAATGAGTAAATGAACCTTGGGACTTGTCGCTTGGGCTGCTGACTACCGATAAAGTGAAGTTGCAGTAATATCGTCTTGAAACTTGATTAGTTCATATAATTTCAATCCCCAGGTAGGAAAAACCTCATTATTAAAGAATATCAGTGACTTGCTTTGTGTTTTCCCTGACATGCAACTTATGGGAATGGGCATGTCAGGCTTTAAAGGTTAAATGTGATAATTTAAAAAATGAGTGAACTTAAAAAGAAAAGCTTGTATATCAAAGATAATGGTTGGCAACTATTATTTTTAATTTACTTTGGAAGTACAAATTAACTTTTCAGGTGTGAGGTTATCCTTATTAAAAAAACAGCCTCGTGTTCAGATTGTCTTAGCACGAGAGCTTTAGCGAGTCCTTTATATGCTTTCTCATATATAATCACTTATATTAAAGTCTCTTTGGTCATGCGACCGTTGGCAGATTTCCATTTGGATTTCGTATGGGCATATATTCACGTGCCCAAACGGTGGTATCTTGCTGGCTCATTTTTATGCAAAATTTTTGCATCTCAAGAGGACAACAAGGATTTGGCCTGAATTATTTGGCTTATTTTCTAACTACATTATTGCACTCTCTTTGGGCTTCCTTTCAATTTGTAAGGAATTTCCTTTGTATTATCTTGTCGTAATGCTTTTCCATCCTCATCCAGATCATCATTGATAGATAGGTTTGTGTTAGGAGCAAGCTAGGCCATAATTTTGATTATAGGAAAGTGGTCTTAGTTAGCAGAAATTATTCCAGAAAATTTATTGTCTTTCATCAACATGTCCATTTTTGTTTGGGTTTCCACTTCTACAACCCGAATATAAAGGCGATGGTCTAGCTGTGTTCATCATACAAAATCACTATGTTTTTTTATGGACAGTGAGTTACTGCATTGATTTGTCTGGAACCACCAGCTAATTAATGATCATCTTTCTCTGGATAAATTAAAATTTTATGTAAAGGCATGAATAATGATTACATATTGGTTGCATATCTAGCTTACTTGTGATGCAGTGTAGTTATCTTCTTACTATTTTGGTTTCCATAGTTTATCTACTGGTTACAGTGAAGCCTCACATTGTAGTTATCGGAACCCCTATGGTACACAGCAGAGTTCTTTGCAAATGAACTCTAATGTTCCAAGTGTAATATAACCGCTAGTAATTAGATCTGTGCTTTTCTGATGAAGAAGAATAAGATGGGCCTTTAAACTAGGGTCTGTAGGGGTGAGTGCTAGGTGGTTACTTACTTTTCTGTGCTACTAGAAAGAACGAAGCTGTTTGTTTCTTACATGTGTTTTTCATGACCTTCCATCAGAAGGGTTTTCCAATCACCATTATAGTTTTCATGGCTTGTTTTGCTTGATCTCTATTTTTATCCAGGAGTAAGAAGTTTGAGGAAGAAAGGACAGCGTTCGTGGAGGAAAATAAGTTCTGGGTAATGGCATGGCCCGCTATGAAAATTGAAAAAGTTTGTCTGGGAGAGGAAAGAAGGGGAAAAAAAAAAGTTAGGGAAAAAAAAAAGTGTGAAAAGTTTAGTGAAAAGCCCGGGTTGAGCGGGTGGTCGAGGTTTCCATACTGTCACATGTACTCCCGCAGTTTTCGCTGCGAAGGTGCTTTTGGTGCCCTCTCTTACCCACGCACTTATTATTCACTCCCAGCTGGTTAGTGGTTGTCACTTATATCGGCAAGTACTCTACCGTGTTATTTGTGAGGATGATGTGTACGACACGTGTCCCTTCCTCACTGGGTAGCTAGCGTTTACAGTGCCCACCCTCACTTATACCCGTTGCTTTATCTTTCCCCCTTTGGGGGGGCCCCTTTTTCTTTCTTACACTAGGATTGAAGTTGGTGCCCATCACCGGCTTTTTTACTTTGTCTGAGCAGAATCAGCTAACTAGCCAAGAGATGAGAAAGGAAAGTCAGGGTTGGATCAGAATAGTTTCGCTAACCAGGTGGGATTCTCACGTTCTTGACACGAAAGAATCGCACACCCCCCTCCAGATATGTTGTGATGTTTGAAAGTTTGAAACTAGCAAGTGGTCTTAAAAGGGTGGTCATTTAATTCACTATCAACTAACAACTACCATGTGCTTTGTTCCTGGCTGTGGCTGGGCATTAGCCAGGAGTAAGGAAATGGGTTAAGGGTCACTTTCTGGTTAAAGAGAACTTCGCCACACCATGTGGTGGGGGGGCATTGCAGTACTGCTCATGGGATATCGTCGAGAGAGGGAGGAGGTTCTTATTAACCTCGAAGCTCTCGTGGGTCATTGCAGAAAGTGGATTTATGTCGCCGTTCAGTCTTGTCTATTCTGACAGTGAGTTCTTCACGCCCCCCCCCCCCCCCCCCCCCC